CAGCACGTTTATCTGATGTATATAAGAACTATTGAGTATATGGAATCCAACCACTGGACCAAGATACACAGCTGGCAAGTCAATAGCATAGAGACAAACTGCTTCAGAGAATGTTTATCTTAAATACCTGAAGCTGTTACTGTAACCCCACATAAAAATTAAGCATAGTTAGTAGTTATGATAAAATGGAGTTCAAACTAGAAATTCACCAAAAACATCTGAAACACCTTGGAGAACTTATGCCTGCTTTTGCTCTTTAAACTAAGGAATGTTTAAGATTAAGGTCAAAATAATAGAATTCCAGTTGCATTCCAACAGTAGCAGTTTTCCAGTATACTCTTGATGATTACAGTATGAAAATAAATGTCAGAAATTACATTATCTAAGAGAATATGTAGGGATCTTTTTTACTTTAATAAATAACTATGAAAAACACAAAACCCAAATCAATAGTTTTACTGGTAGTCAAAAAATGAAGAGACACGAGACAGTTGTTCCTCAGATAATAATCTATCAGCTTTACTAAAAATATCTAAGGAGTATTTCCTCAACACCCTTGATTTTTTTCCCCTGCCCTGACTTAAAATATTTACTTATTACCAATCTGCCTCAAACTCTTTTCAGGGTAGGCTTTTAAACTCTTACCTCTGTGGCAAGACAGAGCACTAAGATGTAAATGAAGTTTATTCAGAAGGGTAAATGTGGTAACTAGTGTCCTTTCAGTGACTTTACAGTGACTCATTCTAGACTTTCAAAAAACACATCACTAACATCACATATCACTACTGATAAGAGAAAAAACATTTCCTGTAATTTGAAAAGATGGAAACAATTTCTTTACTCAACAGTCAGTACTTGGAAAACTTATTAAACAGAGGCCATAGAAAGGCTTCATTCTAGTGAAATAGTGCTAAAAGTTTTAACTGTGGGAGAGAGAACTAGCACAATCATGGACTTCCTTTACAGTTGTTCTCAAAGCAGCTCTGACACGGTTAAGTATGGGTAAATGTGACAATTCTCCGAATCTGCCAGGAAACACACCAAGAAGGAAGTGATGTTACCCCTCTGACCAGATCAACCTAACCAACAGACGAGTTTTCCTACTGAGATTACTCACATGTAGAACTAATTTTCTATAACAGAAATGTGCTCTGTATCTCCCCATACCAAACTAGCCATGGACTATTTTAGGAGGGTAGCAACAAGTCAGTAATTTGAATGGAAATGGAGAGAAACAGATTAAAATGCAGAAGAGAGTTCCACAGTTTTCCCAGCTCTGTTTCCCCAGTATCCATGCTTCACGGGCACCATGCTTATCTTGGCCAGCTGACTGACATTAACTGATAACTGCAGCTTAATTTAACCTTGCCTGAATTTTTCCAAAAAAAATTTTTTCCTCCCCCTCTCACTTTTAGCCTGTTCTGCCTTCAACTGTTTCAAGGAAAGCTTAAAAAAAAAACTAACAGCAACAAAAACTCTACCAGTGTTGAATAACCAACAGGACCAACTACACACGACCAGAAGGAACACCTGCTCTTACAGACCGGAAAGTGGGGCTTGGTAGAGATTTTCCTGAGAGCTATAAGGGAGTGTAGAGACAAACCACAATAGTATTTGAAAGGCTGATATTAAGGAGTTAGAACATTTGCTTGTTGCAGTTTGTAGCTATTACATCAGATCAAGTAATAACAAGAAAGATTTATTCTTTGAGGAAGCAAACCCAGGAATTTACTGATGGACTACAGGTAGAAAGAGCAAATATCCATTCCTTGGTCTTGGAGGAAAAAATGGAGGAAAAAATGGCTGACAAAGGACACCTTTGCTTATACACAGCTTCAAGGTTTTTCTCCATCACTTCTGTGAATTAGGCATTCCAATTACGTTATCGTTAAGGAATGTCTCAGACTTTTGAGTAAGAATGCCCATGGATTTTTTTTGCATTTCAACACATTTACACAGAAGTCTAACAGGTCAGCATCAAGATCAATGCCTAAGATAAAATGATATTCAAAATACATAAATATAACTAAATATTTATAACTGCATCGCAGCAAACTTGCTACAAAGTTACATCTACTATTAAATGATAAAACTACCTCCTTCTCCTTGTCATTATTACTAACCAAAACTAAGAGTGACCTCAAACTGTGATTTAAATCTAGCATTTGTGTATGTCAGAACAGTTTATATGTGGGAGTAGTGATACTCTGCAAAAGTTAATGCCAATGTCTCACACCTACACCTACACAAACATTTAAAAAGAAAAATCCGATTTAAGTCAGGCATTGCTATGGACCATGTGGACCTTGCACTGAATCCCTATGTTTTCCCCTGCTTCCTACAGAATCACCATTTTCCACACACACATACACAAAAGACAAAGGTTTTGTGGTAAGTTTCATCAGCTTCAGAATAATCACAAGCAGACTTATTTATGATGCCTCTTACTCAGCATCATCACTTTGAGACATCCACGCGCCAAGATTAGTTACATGCACTTTATATTAAATGTTGTGTTTCAAGTCATTAAGGCAAGCCTCAATTAAAAGGCCCTCCACCACTGACATCGGGTCACAGCATTCCAGCAGCAAGCTGAATGGAAAAGAATGAGGCAGCTCTTTCTCTAATGAGAAAAAAGTTATTTAGTACCTCATCCCCATATTGAGACTTGTTGTTTCCTTAAAAAACAGGTTTTGTTGAAGCAGTAGGATCAATAGTTTGTTTTAGCTTGCTGGCTTTGGAAGTAAATACTTCACAACTCCAACTTTTGTTGTTGTTTTTGCAGATGCTTCAGACGTCTTTGAGCCTGAGCACCTGAAAGGAACTTTTGATCTTAAGTTTCATATTTGCTGTCAAAACACCAGTCAAATATCTGTGCAAGGTTCTATAAGCAGAGAGAATCTTCCACAGCACAATAGAAAATTTTCAAGACAAGTCTGCAGTGTGAAAGAAGACATAAAAGGGATTTATTTCTATTAAACCACTGCTGTTTTAAATGTATGTATGAAGTTAACACTCAAAACATGTATTGCACAATTACACAAGGTATATTTCAGAACTACTACAAGCTTGAGATCAGTAGTTCATCAAACTCTAACACGGAAACTCCTAGGTACATACTGCAGCCACAGAATGACTTCATGCTCTGACTATACGCAAAGTACAGTCATTCTCATTTGTACAGAAAACAAAGGATCTTGAGGCTACAGATGAAGAAATCACTAACAGGTGGTCATCCAAGGTGACAAAAAAAAAGACTGGAACTTGAAATGCACTTCAGTAGGAGACAAAAGAAAGCAACCTAATTGTGAAAAGTAGAAAAAACTAAAGATGGCATCAAGCAAAGAAGTGACTGTGAAAAGGAAGGAGAGAGAAACAAGTGAATGAGACAGTGAAATATCATGACAAAACAGGGGCAGTGAAGTCCTTGCATGTATAAAGCAGACTTACAAAAGACTGACTTACCCTTCTGGCACCTACATTCTTTAAATGCCCATGATATGATAAAAACTGTATAATTTGACACTCACAGCTTAGGCAGAAGTATGGAAAGGGAATAGGAGAGAGCTATAAGAGACTTGTTTACATAAAAAATTCTAATTCAGTGAAAGAAAAAAAAACAACAGATTGTTGTATTCTCTATTTCATAACACCAGATCTACTGTGCTTTCTGGAAGATCCATTTTAGCCAAAGTTATCAGGATGGCATTTAAAGCCAGTGTTACAGTAGAAAAAAGCAAAAAAGAGCAGGTGGTTCCTCACCTGCAAAACCAGATAGTTTGGAATGAATAAAACAATTATTTTACAGACAGATTGCTAACATAGAAGACAAAGCCTGACCTGAATTCAGCTATTCTCTTACTATCTTTCTAGAAGATAACTGAGTCATATGCAATCCTAACTTATCTAAGTAGTTCTAATGTACTCATCACTGCATTATCTAAGCATTATGTGATCAACTGATTGCTTTATCTTTTAATAGATTTAGTGCCTGCTTCACTACAGGAAAAAGTATTCAAACTGAAATTCTTTATGGAAACTCCATCAAATTTATTTGTACAGTCATCTACGTAAATCAAGTTGATCTTATAGAAACAATATGCAAACACGTTACTTGGCATGTTCCTCATGCTGTTAGCAAAATGGTAACCAAGAGTTAAGAAACAAAAAACTGTTTTATGAAGCAAGTTCATACCATACATGAAGATTTTGAAAAAATGCAAGTAGTTCAACTTTCACACCGTAAAATGAAATCATCTTGAAGGAGAAATTTCAGAGGGAAATCAGACACTAGCACTGCCAGTTTAAGAGAAAAAGAAAGGAAACTAGATAACAAGCAGCTTTGAATCCAGGATTAATAACCAAGAAAACCTTCATGGACAGACAACAAAATTCAGGTAGGGAAACAGTGTGCAAGTACATGAATGTCTGCAGTAACCCATCAAGATTTCTCCTAGCCAAAAAAATAGAAATCATTTATGATTCTCTCATTATGGGAGCAGTGGGCTCAAGACAAAAAAAAAAATGGAACAGTACAAGGGCTACAGAATGCATCTTCAAATCCTACAGTGATACGCAGCATTAAATAGAAGTATTGGTTTCAGTAAATAATGGAGGTACGTTTTAGAACAAATCTAACTCTGATCATAGCAGAAAATTACATGCAGACAGGAATGTCTGCCAAAATCAAAATGTGGGTTTTTTTAATGGTATGCTTCCAACCTGATACAGCATTGAAAATTACTCATTACAAGTAAAAACAAAGAAGTCACATGGTGCTTGTACAGAAACAATTATTAAAAGCTCACCAGTATGCACAGAAGGTAAACGTAAGGCCTTTTCTTATAAAGGAGGCACACTATACAAAGACAGCATTATCCCACTTTGCCAAGTAGTGTCTTGCTCACAACAGGTTAAAAAAAGAAAGAAAGTGAAGGACAGGAAAAAAGGTACAAGAAGGAGGAGTATGAAGCCACACGTTTCATATGAGCATGTGTTACCTGGATTTCTAATTCAGCAATGTGCTGCTGGAGTTCAGCCACAGCTGCTATGCGGTCTGCCTCACGGAGCCGCACTGCCATCACTTCTTCTTTACTCTGGAAGAATAAATTAACGACAACCCATAATACCAGTTTCAATCAATAACTGTGCATTTTTTACTCAGAACTACATAAGGAGAACTTATGCTGCTGAAGAGTACCATGCCTACTGATAAAGTATATTCTAAAGCACCCCCCCCCCCCCTTTTTTTTTTTTTTTTAAATTCTGTAGTCCATAGAATTCTGTAAACATCTAATACTAATTCCAAACTACAACCACCTAATACCTGTGGAAAATATTGTCCACAAAGGTCCAGGTCCAAGAAACAGATACCCTTTGTTCTAGAAACACTATAATGTAAATTAAGAAAGAGGTATGGACAATTCTTCAGAGGACCACATTCTTCAGCTTCTCCTTTGTGAACAGACAGCAAAGATACACTGAAGTTTCACCTTATTTCACCTTTCTCTAAAAACAAATAAGAAGAGATATACTCAACCTCATTTATGTTCAGCTGTCTTAGTGACAGTATAGAACAAAGACCATGTAGGATGAAACTAATGCCTGTAACTAATGAACAGATTCCTGCTGTAAGTTTAACAGTGATTTGCAATTTGAGTTTTGATAAGAGAAGGAAGTTTCTCTACTTTCTGTTTTATTGAGGTAAGCCCTGAAGACTTGAGAACACAAATCTACCAGTGTTATATTGTCACCAGCTTGGTACAACCACAGGGAAAAAAGGGATACATAATGAGTCAATAATACTTGGGGGGTTGGACTCGATGATCTCTGGAGGTCCCTTCCAACCCCTACAATTCTGTGAATACTTCCAGGTAGAGTGCAACATCTGGAAAAGACAGGTGAGTCCCAGGTATAGCATCCACGGCAGAATGGTGGAACTCCACAAACTATAGTTACTGTAGGTTAGTTCAAGTATCACAGTTATTTTAATGTGTACTTCATTTAATGTGTACTTCTAATTCACAATACTTGCTACTCTTACTTGTTTAGACAATTTGATTGAAACTGAATTTAACTGCCAAAACTTGTCCACAGTAGCTACATGAAAAGATGCTGTATGTTTTAAAAAGAGCCCTGTAATTAAATCACACTTTCTGCAGTACCTAATTAGCAGAATATGTAGTCACCTAATTCCATTTTAGAGGAACCCAAAGTCAAAGCTCAGCCATTATTGCTAAATTCTACTGTGTGACTGCCTGCATGAAGCCAAGTCCACAAGCCTACAGGATCATATGTAGTCAACTGCAAGCTGACTCTCTTTGGCTTGATTTGACTTGAATATCTGAGATGAGTCAGTAGTGTTGCTCTAGATGGCACTGACACTTTATCACTGAAACAAGGCATATGCTCAGTTAGTACCACAGGATTTGATAGGAAAGACAACTGGGGTGAGGACATAGTTCTTTTGTTGTAGGTCCTTTAACACAGCTGATTAGAGAGATTATTGCTGTGTTTCAAATAAACTGTTTGAGATGAAGTTCTTGCTGTAGAGGTAGCAAACATAAAAAGCCATGAAGTAGTACACACCAGTGACAGAAAACAGAAAACTGCACAGGAATGAGATACAGCTTGCTACACAAGTTTCAATTTCTACTTAAGTATAAGATACTGTTTCAAGAGAGACAAGCTGCAGAATATACTACTTGGGTTTTTTTTGTTTGTTTTACACAAGAGATCTGGGGAGTTGAAGATGTGTTACAAAGACTCACTTGGATTTTTAAGTACGAATATTGTTACATGGCAAAACCTCAGTGACAAACAACACTAGAGCAAAGCTTCACATGTGTCGAAATGACAGGAAGAAAAATACTCAAACATCAGCTTCCAGGGGAATCAGGGGACAAAAGAACTTCGCAAATGCAAAGTGGAAATACAAGTGTAGCTTAAAATACTTAGTGCTACATAAGCTTAACATTTGTATTGCTCCATTATATTATATGAAAGACCACTGAGACTGCAGCTTTGATTATGAAGTTATTGCATCAGCAACACCTTATTTTAACTATTTTAAGTATTTACAGAGCAAAATTATTTTTTCAATTCAACCTACTCTATATTCCAAGCCAAAGTCAGTAGCAACACTACTTAGCACAGTGCCACTGAAACTACTTTTGGTACCTATAGGTAGGACAAGTGCTGCTACTGCTGTAGGTTCATTTTCCTTATGGAAAGATCTAAGGGAAACCAGCAAAAAGTTGCCAATTACAAATTACACAATATGGCTTTGATTAGCAAAGACAAGATGAAATTTTACTACACAACTGAATTGATTACATTGATGCACTACCTTGAAGAAAAAGGATTACAAGAAGAAATCAAGTCTGTAAAAACAATACATTATAGGAAAATTATGCATAGAGTGCCAATTCATCTTCAGACTTAGCAGCTTTGCAACAAGCCACTCACTACACTCTTGACACTCTTATTTATGTTATCAGTAGAATCTTCCGAGGAGAATTCAGCCAGTCCTCAAGTTATATATTGTTAAAACAAAACACATGTACATTGGAAAAAACGTGGAATAAACACCCAGCTGGTAACTGTGTTCTATATGAGCAAAAAAGAGAAACAAATGTCTGGATACACCATGGACATAACTAAGATATGACCAACTTACATTATGTAACAGCATCTGCTCTCAAGTTGCTAAATCTGCAACCGCAGTACAACAGGCAGCATTCATTTTGCTACAGGATGAATGTTAACACACAACTCATCTATTTAGAAATTACTGGTTTTATAAAAAACTCCGCAAACATCTTTTGGAGACAGAGTGAAGTTGAAAGTTGCTTTACTGTCTCCAGTACATTAGGTCTTAATTATAGCAATTTCCACCTAAGACTGCACTTTGAGAGAAGTATCAACAGTCATTTCAGGAAAAGTTTCATCCAAGTTAAAAGAAAACCTTGTAGGGCTTATCCTTTACTGCCTTTCCATATTGCACGCACATGACTAAAAGAGAAATTATTAGGGATCAGTTATGTACTTAGTTACGAAACTAAGTCTGGGATGAAAACAACAGGTAGAGCTCTGGTGCACTGATGGTAATGAACACTTTCTTGCCCAGTATTTTTAGGCTGATCTCTTACAAGCAGTTTACTGTTTAGGTAGTGAATACCCTAACGCTCTTCTCTGTGCATTTTTCCATTCAAAGACTGTTTTTACTGCCATTTCTGAACCCAAGCTAGTTCTGCAGTAATAGCATTGAAGTTGTCTTCTGTCACTAAGACAATCAGAGCACATAGCAATCAGAATCTGTTGAGCAGAAGAGTGTCTTTTTACTCATTTCACACAGACAGCAGTAGAGAGTAAAGCAGAACCACACTTTGAAGTCAAAGTTTATCTTTGTGAGACCACAAAGAAACAGCTTTGTCAAAACCTCAAATGATTTTGAGATGGTAATTTTAAGATGACACTGTCAAACTGGAAAATAAATTAGTAGTGGAAAACACTACAAATTACAAACACAGAAGCATGCAAATGGTCTATTCATGTTGTTTACCTTACATTCAATCTCCGCTTGTCTACGTTTTGCTTCATTCAGCTGAGCAAGAAGTCCTTTGTTCTGTGCAGTAAGATACTGTACCTTCTCCTGCAGGCTGGTGACCTCCAGCTCTGCCCTTCGCAAATGGTTATTATTGATCTGACTCTGACATTTATGATAAGGAAAAAAAAAGAAAGCACATCAATAAGAGATGTTTCATATTAGTTTACCTCCCTAAAGTCTGACAAGACAGACTTGACAGATCATTTGCTATAAAAAAAAACTTGATGGAAAACATTGAGAATTTTTTAAATGAAGTCAAAAGTTTGCATGATGTTTGTTTTTCACAACCATGATATTTCAAGGGTTCTTAAATAGAGAATTCACTTTAAGAACAAGAACGTAAAGTTGCTGTACACATTTCTACTCATCTTGCACTTATGCAAGTCAAAGACTTTGTGAACTTGCACCCCAGTTACAATTACTAGCTGGTGCAACCACAGAACATCAAGTATATCAGAAATACTACATGCACACTTTAACCAGTGAAATCCTGGAAGTAATACAGTACAACTAAGATCAGTGCTTTAATACAAGACATTTTTTACAGGAGGCTGTGCATAGATCAACACAATCTGAGAACCACTGCATTTGTTTCAAATGACAGCTCAGCAACATAAACACAGACTCAATGCTTAACACTGAAACGAGAGCAACCTAGAGGTCTTGAGGTTATTGCATGTAACCCAGAGTGCAGGATACCTATGCCCCCTACTGACTAAAATAAATATAAAGGAAAAACAACAAAACATACATTAACAGTATTTACATTTAAATACAAGTTTTAGAAGGCACAAAAACACCTTTATTCAGTTAGTGTAGAATGAACTGGTGCCTCTATCAGTAGTAAGCTACCACGTATTGCATAGCCATTCTCTCCCTGTTCAATACCACATCTTGATACATGGGAAGATTTCTCAGAGACCTGTTACAACACTTATCAATCAACAGCACGTTCAATGTCAATTCAGTGGAGAGCTCACAAATTAATATGAATGTACCAATTGTACATTGCACTTTCAGATTTGACCACTTAACTTGCACTACAGTTACAAAAAAAGGATCTTAGCAGATAAGTTATTTCTTGCCTATTCTGCACATTTCAGTAATGCTAAAATACACTTCTTCTTAGCAGGTGAAAGGTAAAGCTTCTGCTGAAAAGTGACAATAGGCTATTGTTACACCAAGATTCCTGCTTAGTAACCATATTCAGGCTTTCAGGAGATGATCTAGTACTGGCAATTTCACAAGAAAAGCACTGTTACTTTAAGACTTGAAATTACAATACGTGAATCATCAATTAGATAAAGGTTTGTGAAGGTGGAAATACCTTAAGCACACTTTTGTTAGCATCCCAGTAACGACTGAACAGATAAGGATTCACATACATTCAGAGTTTACCAGTTAATCCAAGTAAGAAATTGTGAAAGCTTAGTCCTGTAAGGGGACATTAAAGTATGCTAGATTGATTGTATGCACTTGATTCTCCCTCCCAAACTAAGATACGAAGAAAAAAGCAGTTAAAAAAGAGACCATGACATCTTAGAGCTAAAGTCATCCCCATAAATGGGTACAGACCATTAAATGGTATTGGCCATCTGATGCTAGTCTGGCAGCATTCTGGTCAATTCATATGCTAAATATCATACCTGTGTTTCCATCTCCATCATTCTTTGTTTGGTTTCTTTCAATTCAGCCTGAGTTTCTGCTTCTCTCAGTCGGACTGTCATCAGCTCATCCTGCAGTTCATTCACTGTATTTTTTCTCGGAGGATCTTTCCACCTCCCAGTGGTGCGAGCTAGGTGACGCTAAGAAAACCCACATCATTGCTGATATATCATCTTTCCTGGTGTTCTCTAATTTCACTTAAGTAATCTCCTTTAAAGAACTCCTTGATGTCTCAGCTGTACAATGCCAAGTTGCTCAAAATGCTACTTTTAGGTCTAAAAATCTAGAAATCTATACAAGTTTTAAGAATAGAGCATTAAAAGACCGAAGGCGGTGATTCCCAACCAGATTAAGTCACAGGATTTCAAATACATCCTGAAAAAGAGCTTTTAATATTTACTGAAGTGGAAGTATTGATGGGATACTTCCTTTCTACCAGGATGGCTGGTTGTTAGTACAGGCCTCTGTCATCTGCAACAGCTAGAGAACAACTTCCAACATACTTCTGAAGTTAGTGATATTTTCACAATCCACAGTCACTAGTTCCTACTTAACATCTCAAGATTTTCTTGCCTTGTCATCATCCATTAGAAAAGAAGAAAAAGAGAACAGTCTCTTGGTGCCCATACCTGCCAGTGTTCCTCCAAGTCTTTGACTTGCTGCCTTAGTTCTTTGAGACCCATCAAAGCTTCTGCTTCTCTTAGTTTCACTGCAATCAGTTCTTCTTGTAGTCTAGCAACATTTTCCTCATCAGGGAGAGCACTGTTCCTCTGGAACAAGGAACATCCTCTTAAACATGCATCTGAACAAAATATTGCTTAGCAAGATCCACTCCAAAACACAAATATGAAAACTCCTATTGCTAACCAAAATTTCTTAATACATCTCTTATAAAGTACCTAAAAATATATCTAATGACTATAAGTATATTTAAATTGTCCATTTCACTGCATATTATCCCTCCCAAAGATTATTTACACTACTTCTGGCACATTAAAAAAAAAAGAGAAAAGATTATGAAATAATTGACAAAAATAAAGCAAATGAGGAACAAAAGTTACACCTTTAGAGTTACAGTTCTTACTCCGTTTTACAGAAAAAAATAAACGGAAATTTAAGTTTTGGGAAGGAGATAATTTGCTTTTGAAAAAGAAAAGGTATGTTGATAAAGAAACTACGCATTAATATTTACTAATAGTCAAGAAAGCTCTTAAGTGAAAGTACATGGATGTATATGAAGACATGAAAAAAGTAGAAAGACTGGAAAGAGATAAACAAAACAGCAATGCACACCACAGAAGTTACTTAGGAAAAGTGATGAAAGAATGAAAGTCTGGGGATAAAACAAAAACACTAGAAGGGAAGGAGGACAGCTGCCCAACTAGTTCCTTTTATTGAATCATTGGTCACCAAACACTCAAAGTTCAATTGTGCTTTATCATTTTCTACTGTACTTCTCAGTAGTAATTTCTAGCAAAATCAAGTATTTAGAGACAGTGCTGGGAAAGCTTCCAGTTTTTCCTGAGAGTTGAGTGTAGTACTTCAACATTAACACAGCAAAGCCACCATTTACTAGCATGTTCCAAATCATGGGCTGTAAGCATTAGCAAATCAAGAAACTAACTGTTTCTTAATGCTTACATTATGGGCAGTACAGCCATTCAAGTCTCAGGTTACCAAGCAGAGCTTTTCCAGATTACTGTTAGTGACATGCCACATAAAGAGTTGTATTTATAGAAACTGAAGGGAATTAACCTGAGTCACTTTTTCACATGCCTAAGTTCATTAAAGACTAAAATGTTTCTTGACACCCAAAGTTTGCCTGGTACATCATTTTTTCCCCACAACTCCATCATCTTCATATTTAAAGTTTTCAGTATATGCTAACTCCCATAGCTCAAGAAAAGTGGTATTTCTAAATTTTTAGAGAATCATGGGTATGCAACCTTCTGGCTGTTCCAGGCCACAATGAGTGAAGAGGGACTGTCTTGGGCAGCATATAAAATACATAACATAGTTTAAATATACAAGTAATAACACATTTAAAAATGAAATATTAAAACAAAGAGGACAACAAAAACAAAACTAGCAGATTGGACATGGATGCTAGATTCTGACCTCTTACCAGTGTAACTACAACACTACTATTCTGTCAGATTCCCAGTCAAGCTCTTTAAGTAAAATCTTAACTAGATGAGTCCTGTGAAATTAACTAGTAAGTTTTGTCCACATTATTGAATATGCAGCTTTTTCAAGTTTCCATAGGGAAATAATCTCCCAAAACAACAAAAGAGTGTGCTTTAAATAAGGTCAATTGGATTTTTCTATTTTCTGTGAAGAAAAACCTGACAATAAATTAAGAATAAAGTGCCTGACAGATTGTTTGAATCCAGCTAGAGTTCTGGCGTCAGAAAACTACAAAATGACCGGCACCTGAAAGGCAGCAGAGTTTCATGCTAAGGACAGCAGATACACTTTCCTGCCCATAACAGAAAGTGGGAGATACTCAAGAACAAGACTGGGGAAGGGCAATCTTGAACTCCTCTTTCGTGTCTGCTCCAACATCACTTCAAGGCTCACCATAGGCTTGCTACTCATTGCAGAATATAGTTTTGAAACAGCTGATGTTTGCTGTTAAGACCCTACCAGAATTTGCGTTTTCCAACACAGGCACAGGAGAAAGCAATCATAGGCCCTTCTCAGTGTAAACATCTTGTTTAGTTTTTGTTACTGTTTTTTGATATTTCTGTTTGGTGTGGCTTTTTTTTTTTTTTTTTTTTTTTTTTTTTTTTTTGCTATAATCAACTTCAAATTTGAAAAGCATCTTACAATCATGAAAACATATGTCAAGAATATAGAGCACAGTTACACAAATAACTACAGGGACCCGCATTCCATCTCTAGAGCTATTTTATACCAAAGATCCTGGGCTTGGTTTACCTTTTCCATCTCTAGAACTTTGTCTTGCATCTCCTTCAGGGCACAATGGGATTCTGCTTCACTCAGCCTGGCTTGGACCAGCTCTTTTTCCAGCTGTAGCACAAAGTCTTCACTGTATCGTGAACTGCATTTATGCTACAAAGTTTGCAGAAATATATTTAGTATGAAGCACAGATAGCTCAAAATGGGTCTCGTGTCAAATGTGAAGTGAAAAACCATACATTCAAATGCTTAAGACTAGAAATACTACTTTAAGATACAGAAGGTCTACTAACACGTCTATCGCCACTGGTATGTGTACAAACCCTATTACTACTCTTCTGAAACAACTTCAGCCATACAAGACCAAAGGTACAGGATCAGACTGAGACCCCTCTGAGTACTCATGAGTACTCCATGCCTTCTTCTCAATGTTATCCAAACTAGGGAAAAAAAAAAAATAAAAATGAAGGATCTGTAGCTATTTTGTGATGTGTTGAAAAAAGGCTTAAGGTTAGCTATTTACAAGGTTAATATGAGGATTTCTCTTGATCCCTACTCAAACTTTGATTCAGCAGAAGCCTTCCATAACCTTGAATTTAAAATAAGTCACGTATGCTTCAAAGCACTGTTACTTGGGCTTGCCTCTTTATTTCACTCCAACCTTTAGGCTCCTATTTACTCACAGAATATATATTCTTCCTTGTAATATATTTTTAGGATAAGCCCTATGGCTTCCATGAATTTCTATAAAGCCATATCTTGCTTTGCTTTTGCATCAAACAACTTAGTTTGCTGAGTTAGCAGAGAAGTTTTCAGTTCTGTGTGCTGCTATTAGGATATAACATTCCCTAACTTTCACTCACAAACTTCACTAACAGACCAAACAGGAATTTATCACACACAATTACATGGCCACAGAAGTACTTTCTCATTTTTGTACTTGTATATGCCAACTACATCTAAACCGTATTTGATCAAACTCACCTGTTTACAGATACGTTTTTATTACATTTCTTAAAATACACAGGATATGAATCCACAGAATTACAACAGAGGAGTATACACAAAACACTACAAGGCAAACGTAAGCTGTGCAAACAGTTTTCAGCATCACAGAGACTGTCCAATTAAAAGTGCTTGACTACTTAGCTGCACAGCTGAACGCACCAAGAACACCGCACAAAGATATTAACTTTTCCTTACACAACACTGATTTAATATGTACTATTTTCAATCTGCATATTGTCTTCACACAGCAAGTAGCAGAGGTAGCCCTGAACTGAAATGTCAGGAAAGGACAGACAGACAATGCCAATGTTTCCAGAATCACCGGACACGATAGGAGGGCATCCATAGCACATGAAACAATATCCAGAGACACAGAACACGCAACAGCTTTCTTCTTCCTTAGCTGTTTGAACAAGTTTATCAAATGACATAAACAGCAACTTTGATGGAGTGGTGGACTCTCAGTTTCTTGCTTCAGATTCCACAGGCAAGAGAATAGGAAACAAAAATGAACGCAGCATGCCTGCTTTGGAGTCCTCTAGACTTTTCAGGAAATGGAGTGGAAATAGTGGATCTGAAGAGCTAAACGCATCCTGATTTGGAAACAACATATGTGAGTAATGTAAACAGTTTTGGACTCACGACTTGTTTTTTAAATCTGCCTTCAGACTTGGCCTACTTAGGACACAGTTATATGCTTCTGAATGCCTAGCCACAAAGCAAGCATCAAAAACAGCCATGCCACTCCTTTAAACCCAGTCTTGGCGGATTGGCAATAAAGTATAACCAAGATCAAAATAAATTTTCAAAAATATTCAGAAGCTCAAAGCTGTGATTTTTAGTTGTTTTTAAAAACAACTTTAGGTTAAATCACTGACAAATTTATAATCAAATTGATGTTAGAAAATGCTACTTTGTTTGCTAAATATCTGTCTTAATTGCCTTTATGTGCTTGCCTTAAGCCCTCGTATTTGTGCCAAAGAACTCCACAAATCTACATTTCTGAGCACCATTCCAACCTTTTCACTACAGAAACACTTCTTCTTGATATATCTTCAGAAGATGCCTCTATAACCTGAAATACTAAAAACCCAGTTTTACAATCATTTACCCCCGAATTAAATCCTTGTGCTTAGCCTCACATAACTGGATTTATTTTTTTCCAAATTATTCCTTCATATGTCACACAGTAAGATTGCCAAACATTCCTAATATTACTTTTGTAATGTATATAAACGTACCTGTTTGCAAAACACCTTTCCAGTTTCCTATACTGCCCTGTTAACTTTGCTTATACGTTTGCACACTAACCATAGCACTTCAATGAATTCAGTATTTTTGAAAATTCAGACGTAAAGTATATTGTAAAATAAAGTGAACAAAATAAAGGAAAACCTTCAGTAAGGTTGTGACGTTCATTATAAGTGTATTCTTCCTATGTCAGTTACCATGCTCTTCATTATTAGTAATTCTGGTATGAGTTCCTGAAATGAAACTACTGAGAATGCAGTTGCTGTGACTATAACCAAACATATGGCTACAAGTTACCCAGTAAAATGCATATGCTTTCATCAGAATATTTAGTCAATTAAACTTCCAACTTGTAACACACCTGGAGGGCTTTCTCAATATTAAGAAATAAAGCACTTTTAGCTTCCTGAACTGCCTCTTATTCAGTAAATTCAATTCTCAAGCATTCAGACCGATGATCTGGCTCATCACTAAGAATTCAAGTATTTCTAGGAAAGACTGATATTGTTTTCTGGAGGTATATTTAATGGGCTGAAATCCTTAGATTATTTGTTCTTATATATCCAACAAAAATCTCTTTTTAAAAAAAATCAGAAAAAAAAAACAGCAAAAAAAATACCCCCCCCCCAAGAGCATCTTAGAACAGTCTCACTGCCCTCACACCTAATCCCACAAACACCACTGCCCTCAGCATACCTGAGAACAAGGTTTGTCAGGCACAACTCCATCTATACAGATCACAGTTGAACAACACTACAGAGAAGAAACAAATAGCGTTCCTCTTAATCTCCCAGTTGCCCACCACATGGACAAGTCTGTGGCAGATTTCTCTATAAGACTGCACTTGCCACAGCAGTAGATTGCTATTGTTTTCTTCAGAGGCATTTAGACAAATGAGCTGAAGCACTGAACTCCAGTAGCACTTCAGAATGGTGTTTTACTTTACAATTGTTTTTCCTAGGTAGCAATACAAAAAAAGTACACGCACTGTGCACTATCTCTAACACCGTTACACTGTTAGTCGCTCCACAGAAAGATGTAAAAGCTAGCATCCCAAGTAAAATGACATGCAAAGTCTCCATCTCAAGCCTTACTGCTTCTTTCCCACTTCTGTTTCCAAATGACCTAAATTTTTTTCAGAAATATGTAGAACATATTTGATGACTCTTAATATGCAATTCATTATACGAACATCAGCACAACTTTCAGGTCATCTTGAGATAAGAACTATAGCAGAAATTCCATTACTTATACTGGGAAAAAATGGTAACAAATACCTCTAAATAGATTTAAGTCACTCTGTTTCAACTGAAAACTCTCTACAAATATTGCAATACAGAAAAAATTAAAGCTGCATGTAATTTGGACTTCAGTTGTTGGAATACAGTCAGAAGGATGTTCTTCTACCCATCTCAATCCCCACCCCTAAGGAAAAGTGTCAGAAGGGAGCAATTCTTCAAAGGCACACACATACTCTGTAGGATCTTCAACATTTCTGTTTTTTTTTAATCCACCCATTTTGTGCTCTCACAGCACAGCTATAAATAAGCCCCAGATAGCATTTAAACACAAATCATAACTTTTTTTTTTCTTTTTTTTTTTTTTTTTTTTTTTTTTTACTAAGGATAGGTTACCTTTCTTACAAATACTGTGGCTTGTTATAATGCTCATGCTACTAAACACCATGCTGAAACAGAACTCATAACTGGAAGAGATTCAGGCTACCAAGGATGCATGATAGATGCTGTACCTTCGAATGAGGAGACCAGCTATGCAGCCATCTATCAGTACAGTCTGCATTTTTTTTTTTTTTTCTTTTGCTAACCATGAACAAAATTGAAGTAACTGGAAAAAAAAAACAACCACCACCAAAGCAGCTATGAAGACGATACTGAAAATGAGCACTGCCGGGAGCCACTGCCACTAGACACTGGTAAGAAGATTTACTAGGGGATTCTGCTTGAAGTGAATACCAGAACTCAGACAGAATGCGTGGCTTCCCACTAGGTGGTGCCCGAGGTGCAGCCACCTGCCGCCCCCCCCAAGCAGTTCCCGTTGCTTAGGGCAGAAGTTCCACCACCTTAATTCAGCTGCTGTCTTTATCACCACAGCACAATTTCTTGCACTTCAAAAACGTACTGTCTAGTAAGTAAAAACCCATCTGTAATCCCATGAATTTGCAACCTCAGCTCCAAACAGCCAGACTATTTCCTATTGTCACTCTCTTACATAAGTAGAGAAAAACAAAGCTGCAAGCACACAGGTTAGGAAGTATGGCTTAAAATTAGTTGTTCACTCTTGCATTGCTTTTTCTCTATTCCTGCAGTACCAATTCAATATCTTGTACCTACAGAATCAATATAGAAACAATTTTGCAATTCAGTTTCCCATATCTTTGCTCAGAACCATTAGGAATTAACAGTCACTAGGACTCCTCCACTAATACACACTCCAAGAGTATTATTGTTTGCTTCCAAATTACTGTCATAATTAGACAGTAGAAAGAGGAATACTTCTATTCTATAAACATTTGGCATGCTATACCATATACATCAGCTTTGAAGTGAAATAGAACTTCCACAGCCATCATTTTGCCATGCTTTTTCCTGAAGAAAATACAACTAAAGTTATCAGCATTACACATTGCAGTGTCACAGCTCAATTACAATGCCCTGCAACTATTCCAAAAGATGCATCATTTGTACAGCTGAACACATTAAACAGACATAACAAACTACTGTTGTATGTAAGTTAACAGTAAATCTATTCTCCACTTCCCAAAAACAAATGTAAGTACCTCCAGAGATTTGGTGCTGAGTAAAATAAACCATTGCGCTGCCCAATAAGGCATTTATTAAGTAGCTGCAGAATGCTTTAGTTCTAAAACATCACGTTTCATATACCTGAGGTGTCTAGGGCTCTGAACCAGTTTCGTACAAGGCAGTACAGGTATGGTCACACCAACACTGCAAACACATAGCTTATCCACCAAGTGAAGATGGCATAAGCAGCCTCCCTCTATTGAAAAAAGATACAAACACCTTGCAAGTGGCTTAGGGAAAGTAACTTCAGCCTCACAGTAATGGTCTAAAGTCTTGCACATCACACAACCTAAAATTCATAGTACATACAAACACAGTATTTGCCAAATATAGCAGCTAATATATTTTCCTGTTCCACCTGCACATAAATCCACACCTTTTAATGAATTCTTGTGCTGTCTCCAAAGCAAGGGATAGCTACTTTGCTAATGTTTTGCAAAAGAAGTAGGAAAGTATGCATGTAACCAGAAAAAAACATCAATATTGAAGCACGCAACTTAAATGAGAAGCTAGGAAATAGCATTATCAACTCTCAAGTTTGAGTATTCAGATAGACGTAGTTCGCAGTGGCTAGAGTTCTTAGACATGAAAAGGTTGTGTGTTGGTTTTGGTTTAGGGTGGTTTTTTGTTTTTGTTTTCTCTTTTTTTTTTTTTAAACTTACATTTATCCAGGGTATGAATTCCATCATCTATCAGTAAGAAGAGATCAAAATAGCATTTAGTCCAATTTGTATACTTCTTAAGAAGGGAAATCACAATACACAAGCATTTGTAAGGACAGCACAGACACCATGTCACAATGAGGAAAAACAAACACGAGTGAATGAAAAACATGAGATGATGTGCTGCCAGGCTCCTTACCCATTGCTGCTGCTGTTGGAGCTCCCTGATGGTACTCTCAGCTTGCTCCAGTTTAGTATTGGCCTCATCACTCTGCTGTTTGATGGTGGCCAGCTCCCGTTTTATGAGGTAGTTTTCCTCAGCCTCCTGGGCCCTTGTCACTTGTCCCTTAGGACATAATTATGTGGGTTTTTTCCCCTCAAAAGCAATTGAGGACAAATCCAAGAAAGACTGCCTTTGCAGTACTCAGGTGCATATTTCAAATTGATTTTGCAAACAGCGTGGAATACAATTAGTAGGAATTTGTGGATAATGTAGTACTAAGCAGCTGCTTTAGTACCTTGTTACTAAGCTTGATATCCTTTCAGCAAGCACAATTGTGTACCTGCATTCAATAGAAGTCAATTCATGCAATATTACTCAGCTGTACATGCAAAGATTTAAGTTTGCAATATTCAATTGAAGTGTTAATAATGTCTCAATCCATTTGAAACAAAAATTTCCACCCGAATTACATTAGGTTAGAAAATTATTATAACGTGCAACTACTGGCTTTATATTTTTTAAATTTTTAATATATTAAATGACTTTCTAGTAAGAGATTAGCTATATATTTATTCCAAATCAACAAGGTAAGGATAGAGAGCAGCATGCAAGTATGCATGCATTAAAGCAGTTTGGTTTTTCTGAAAGTAGAAAGAGTCATACAGTAAAAGACTAGAAGACTATACCTGTATCAATCTATCTGCCAAGGAAGCACTTTCCTACAAAGGAAAAATTCAGATTGGAATAAGGAAAAGAAAAAACAAAAGAGTGATAATAGTGACAAAAAAAAGACTAGAGCAGAGAAAGGAAGTGTCCAAATTCTACCCACTTTTCTATACAGGCAACTTGTTTTTACAAGTTGAGCTCTTATGTAAGTTAAAGCAACTCAGGCTGGAAATTGCAGGAAGCAGCCTTTTACTGCAACAGATGTAACGAGTCAATCTTTGATACAAGCAGGTACCAAAGCCAGACTACTTCTTTTTTACGGGAGATTGGTTATTTTTATCTGAACACTACGAAAGGAAGGCATTTCAGCACAAAGGCAACTCCACTAAGCACACAGACATCCATGCAGAACTAACGCTTCCACAAAGATGAAGCACGGAAATTAAACAGTGCACACTGAAAGACCTAAGTAGAAAATTTCTACTATGACAGCTAATATTTTGTTCCAATGAGCTTTAGCAGCAACTCAAACAGTTCATAGAGTCTTTTCCCTTACTGAAGTACTACAAACGTGTGCAAGCTGACAAGCACTGTATTTCCTCCACCCTGCTAAATGTACAATTTCATTACAGACATCTGCACTCTACCACCCTTGTAAGCACCCAATTTTCACAGATTCGATGGTACTCTATTCAAAGATAGTTAAACCATCCAGAATCTTATAAAAATTCCAAGGACAAAGTTTGAACTGGTTATAGGAGCTATCAGTTAAATGTAGTAAGGTTGCATCTTAAGGTGTCTGTCATTACAGTATGCTAAGAAAATCACAAGTAAATCATTTGCGAGGATGAGGAAATAAATTTTTACAAGTTCCCAACAGAAGAATTATATGAGGTTTTTTTTTCTTTTTTCCTTCATGATCTGTTCTTAGATGCTTTGATGACAAGAATTTTGGATGAGAATAATTAATATAGATGATTTTTCATTTTGAAGCATTTCAATTCCAATCAGACCGGGATATTCTGAAAATGAATCTTGAAATTTTAAACACAGAATTTACAGGCACATGAGCTGTCAGGTGGCTCATCATTGAGTTCCTAGCAAAAAAAAAAATAAAATCAAACTTCGAACCTCTGCAAATCAAGCATAAACCAGGGACATTTACTATTATAAGTCCACAAGAAAAAAACACTAGCATCATTTGCTACAGAATTAAACATATCAGAGTCCGTTCCCTTCAGTTAGCTTTACCTACAAATTCAAGATCTGAAACAACTAGATTCATAAAATTTTTGGTCACAACTTCTTTTCACAAGATGTCCCTCATAATGTGCATTTTTTTTCCCAAACCACAGTTTAGAAATCACAATTAATCACAATTTGACACAGGCTGTTAAATCTATTATGGTTTCTTGGAGAAACATCTGAAATACAACACTGTTCAATTATTTCAGATAAAATTTAGTCTATCCTTTCCCTCACTGTGAAGCAATTCTTTGTAAGTCATGAGCATTCAACTTCATTTGCTGAAAGACAGCTATTATTTGCAATTAAAAAGGGTAAGAACATTCTCATGCTAGAGCACACCTTCCTAGATTCAGTCTGTCACACGAAGCATGATATCAACACAGGAAAGCTAAAGTACAGTGCTTGCATGCTATCAGTACATAAGACAAAAGTTATCGTGCACACTTGGACATTATGTCCAGCTACAAAGAAGCCTAACAAAACCCTATTTTAGACTATATCCATGAGAAATGATTTTCCCCAGCCCCCTGTACCTGTAATTTCTACAAAAATTCCAGATCATGTAAGATGAATTAATAGCTGACAGCAGCAGACTTCTGTACTAAACGTGAACGCTGCAACAACATCCCTCTACTGCTGTATTCAGTGACAACAATCTTTCACCTTCACTTCTCTGACCATTCAGAAGCCTGTCATTTTGCTCGTACATAAAAACACCTAGCAACTTCAGATTATCAGAAGTGAGATTCTCTCACAATAATCTCTTTTCCACCCAGGCATTACACCATTTTATGTAGTCTTCTGTACTTTCATACTTCTAGTTGAGGAATAAAATGCTACAGAAACCAGATACTGAAATTGAACATTTCAAATAAGAGCCAAACATTGGTAAGCACTGACCTTAACAGCTTTGTTATTGCCATGCTTTTGGCTAAGCACTGTTAGTGAACATTGTAAATCAACCGGAAACAAATAGTAAGTTATGAGACCCATTTCATACAATAAGATGACTAATCGATATAATTAATATAAATAACAGATTCAATTTGGTCACTAGCTTACTTACTTTCTCTAGTGTTTCAATGCGCTGTTTTAGGAGCCTATTTTCAGTTCGCAACCTCTGAAATGGAAACAATTCAGAACTTTAGTTCTCAGGTTATGGAAGCCTGATAAAGCCAAGCAGGTTAGCTTAAGAAAATGAAAACCAAAACATCTTACCACAGCTGCAAAAAATCAATATGAATACCAACATGAGCAGTGATACTTGTTTTAAACAGCCTTTTCATTTGATGTACTAACTCTAGAGGTGAGTTTTTACAGCTTGACAAAGCTAAGATAAGAAAGGTATTGTGCAATATGAAAGCAACTGTATTGGTGCTATAAGGTCAGTGAACCACAGGGCTTAACCACACAACACTATTAGCCTCCTCTTCATAATCAAAGCAGGACACAGTCCTCATGGTGAAGGGACATGAAAAAGTAATCCCTCCATTAGGACAAGTTAATGAATGCTACAGAGATTCTCCTTTTCTTCTCAATAAAAAGGATAGTTAATTTTTTTTTCTTGTTAGAAACTATATGAACAATTATTTACCTCCAAAAGTAAGAAATAGTTGTACTTTTTTTATCTGATGTATTTCATACAAATCTTAACATGATAAGCCACCACAGCAAGCCCTAATCGCAAGTAAAGAATGCTACCTGTCTACTATTTGTTTACAAGGATAAAAAAAATGTGTAAAAGCATGGAAAATTTCTGTGCTCCCAGGTGCACATTCACTGAACTTTTTCTGAAGAACTGTTGTCTTTAAAATTGACATTGAAAGACAAATGACCAGAAATGTATGGCAAGAAGGAAGGATACAACTCACTCCCTCTAAAAAGCTTAAATGTGAAAGGAAAATACAACAAAAGCTTATTTATGTAACAAAAGCAAGTCAGTAAAAGAACCTAAGCCTGTAGGAGCAGATCTTAACTTGCAGGTTATCCATATCTTACAACAGAGCGTTGTGAATGAGGAGCTCTGATGAATGAGGTTGTCTGTAAATCAAAGTTTAGTAGCAGAAACTAACGAGAACTATGTACAGCACGTCTCCACTGATTAATGCTCTTCAAATTTGTTCACCAGAAGTTTCACAGTCAAGTGCCCTTTATGAGCAAACAGTCCAATGCAAATGCTGAAAAACAACAATGTGGGAACCTCAGTTACATGTCCAGCCACACGTCCTTCCTTCTAGAACTTAAAGAGGATCCAAAAGAAAGCTGGAGAGGGAATTTCTTTCAGAGGCAATAGAAAGAGGATATAGGGCAATGACTTTAAAAGACAGATTTAGATTAGATATTTGGAGTAAATCCTTCATTCAGAGGGTGGTAAGGCAATGGAACAGGCTGCTCTGAGTCACTGTGGATTCTCCATCCCTGGAGGTTTTCAAGGCTAGACTGGATGGGGCGCTGGGCAACCAGATCTATGGAAGGTATCTCTGCCTGTGTCAGTGGAGTTGAAGCTAGGTGATCTTCAAGAGGTCCCTTCCAAAACAATTTTATGTTACACAGATCAGAGACACACAGTCCACATCTAAGAACTAAACTTATCTGTAAGTAAATTTATAGAGGCTCTCTTACTTTAATTTCGACTTGTTCTTCCATTTCTTTTGTTTTTATTGTAGTGTATTCCTTCTCTAACCTAAAAAAATAGAAATAGTAAAGGATAATTAGAAATGTTACTGACAACTTAAGTGGTCTAATACCTAACAAGCAACAAGAAAATAGATACAGGTTATACTTCCTCTGTTTAAACAACCACTTGAAAGTTGCCTATACAGTCCTCCTGTAAATACTTGGACTGAACATTAAAATTAGTTTAAGCACAGAAATACTTCTGCAGACATAAACAGGCTGGACTACATGGTGAAATGTGCATGCCTGCTTGTACAATCTTTATCAGATACAGATTTGAAATGGCAACGATTTGGAACAACAATAACCACTCGATGCAGTTACACAACAATCAATTCAGTACAGTCAAAGGAACACATTGCTGGGAAGGCTTGGAGGACAGAAAGATGCAAAGAGATTCAAGGCAAGTCTTAAAATTATTTTAGTCCCTCTCAAGCAAGCTCCAGAATTGCCCCAATGAAAAAAACAGCAACAAGAAACGCAAGCTGTGATATTCAATGCCTCTACAAAAGGCAATCAAGTAAGTTTAGCCTGAATTGTAGTGTTTTAAACTGCAAGCTTTTATACTAGTTTTCAGAGAAAGGGTTTGCCCTGCAAGTTTGGGCACTATGGTGGACAGGATTAGTAAACTTATTTTGAAAGACCCTAGCACATCTGCTCTCCTTGCACATCACAATATACTACAAGCTGCCTGCCTTAAGAATTGCCCAACTTAACCCTGGAAAAGCACAAGAAAGGTAAACTGATTTATCAGTACGATTCACAGACGGCAGAAAAGTGAAGACATGCAACTAACCTTAAGTAGCAGTATTATACTCAGGATTTCAAACTCAGAATCAGGATTACCCTTACAATTATCCTCCCCTCCCTACTTCACCCTCAAAAAAACAAACAGAAAAAACATCAAAAAGCTACACACTACACACCTAACACCACCCCATCCCACAACAGATTTTCTATTCAAATCCTCTTTACAGAAGCTCTGTAATTTTCTGTAACATGCAGCTTTCCTCAGAAGCTTTAGTTTTTAAGTGAGATTTGATTATATTCAGGAACAATAGCAAATACCACTTCAGTAGAATTCTCTTGCAAACAGTACTTCAGTTTTTAACTCTTCACAGTATAAAACCCCCAAAAAGTTAGACATGGAAAATTCAGAGTGAAGTAATGAGTAACTAGTTTTGAACAAACAAACAGTAACTCCAAGCAATAGTATGATCTTTTCTCAAAATGTTATACCTACTTTTTCATCTTTTTTGCATTGTATTTGACTTGGTAAGATGCTTGGATTAATTTGTCTGGACCACTGTCAAACTGATGTGGAATGACCTTTTGAAAGTGCTAAAAGCAATCAGAGCACAAGATTACATGTAATTAATAACTGCAAATAAACACACACCACACACATCTCTTAAAATATTACAATCTTAACTTACCTGTAACATCCCTTCCATATCAAGTTGCAGTAATTCTGCTTGGTTTGTCTGAAGTAGTGCTAAACCTACTCGAAATACTATCTCCAAACCCTGTAAATAGAAGTTAAAATAATATTCAACAATTATTCACAGTATTGTCAATGCTGAAAGATGATTCTATTATTTAAGAACATTGGAAAGCTCACCCAGTTTCCCAAACAAAAGAAAGGGAAATCAAAAATCTTTAAACAACAGATTGATCCTGGGTTCCTTGTTTTGTACTGAAGACAAATAGTCAGGCTACTTGCCCTAACATCAGGTCCTCTTCAGAGTGCTACTGCACTTCACAGGAGCTTTATCAATAATTTTAAATACATTTAGTACTAAAATGTAATGAATTAAAAAAGAAACAAGGTACTTCTCAAGAAAGGTATTTTTGTTTCAAACAAGGTATAACAACTGAACAATTTAAACAGATTCAAGGGAATGCTTGCCTCAAGAATATCCTAGATACTATAAACGATCTGAAGGAATCCACCTCTGAGTTAGCGTTTTCTAGAACATTATGGCAGAGGAAAAGCATAAATGGACTAAAAGCTTTGGTTTGTTACTTACATTCACCCAAAGCTCTAACCCTAGATATACCTTAGGCATCAGTGATTATTCCACTGAATAATTCCATAAGTTCTTCTGGCTACTAGCTATTACTAGCCATCTTCTCAAAAGGAGCAGCTCTTCTATACTCCCTCCTCCTCATCTGCTTGTCCCCATGAAGCTTTAACATGGGCCCAAAAGATTTATTTTTCACCCCAAACTACTGAAAAACAGAGGCCCTGTTGCACGATGCTATCACATGGCATCCAGAACTTCTGGCAGATACGATGACTCTTCAACAGGCTTAGACTATAAAGTTGCTTACAGCATCTATACTCAAATATGTACTTGCTTTTCCTTAAACTACATGCACAGACATCTTTCCGTACCAAACAATTGATAAACCTACAAAGGCAGGGTATTTGAAATCTGCCCATCAGAACGGTCTTCACAGTACTACTGAAATAGCTGCTCTTAACCATTACTCTTGAAGCAGAACATAAGTATTGAGTAGTTACCTCAGACATAAAGATATCAAATATTCTTGTTGCAATTGGTAGTGGAAAAGTTGTAAGAAATATAGTTAAAAACCATGATGATGCATACATAGAAGTGTGGAAACTCTGAGACTGAAAGTGCACATAAAGTTCTGGAAGATGCTCCTGGAGAAAAAGATGAGAAAAAAATGTATTTGTTATGGTTTTGCAAGCAGTTTTTATTGTGCAAATGGCTCTACATATGGGCAAAAATAATTGGCATTTGCCTCAGCCAGCAGTTACATAACACATAACCAGAAGAAATATCACTTGATATGGATGTAAAAGTTTATCAGTATGAAAAACCAAGCAGCAGACATGGCAGTATTACCTGTAGTATTTCTACACTGCATGGCAGAAATGTAAACATTTCCATACCACAAAATTAAGCCTACTTGTTCCTGTCAGCCCAACTTTTCTTTTACTTAAAAAAAAAAAAAAAAAAAAAAAAAGCTGTAAATCGAGTACAAATTTATAAAAAGACATTTCAGTCTTAAAATTCTCAATGCAAGCTTTACAATTCATAAGCATGAAGTACAGCAACACAAGTCCTCATGACATTGTCAAAGGTTAAAAAATACATCGTACAGACACAGACTTTCTCCTGCAGTCTTCGTCAAAGACTAAGCTATTGTCAAAGAACAGTCTATTATCAAAGACAAGCCTGCTCTTGAACTGCAATTTCCAATTTCTTTATTCTCAGTTACTGAAAAGCTTGATAGATTTTGCATATACCTGTATCATGCACTCAAACTGGTACATACAAAGGCCCAGTTCAGCCATGCTTGGTTTGAAGAGTTCTCGTAGTCTGTAATCTTGCATTAATTTAACAAACACACAAAATGCTTCTTCTTCTGGCATCTATATCAAAAATAAAAACAAAAGAAACAAAGACTCAGGAGAAGCATAAGGACAGAATGAATGTCTGGGGAGACAGTGTTTTGCTGTTTCTCTAAACAAGGAATTTATAACCGACGATTACTATTGTAGTTTTCCTTGTATATGCTGGGTTCTATCAAGTGGCTTCTAAACCGAAATGGAGGTCTGTAAACTTCTTACAATATAACCTGGTCTATAAAACTGAATATTAATACAAAGACAACTTTTAAAATATGACACTTGTAATCCCAGTTAAACTGAGAGGAGGTTTAGTGTAATAGATTTGGAATGACTCATCAATAGCTGACATAACATGCCCTAGAGTAACTTGCAAGACTGGGATCCCACCTTAGCTTTAAGAAACAAATGCATTCTCTCACTCAGAAAGTTTGTAGCTTCTTGACAAAACACAGAAACAGAGAATACTTTCATTTCATATGCAGAATAAAAGACAGCCCTCCACTATTACATTGTAACAAACAGCAATAAAGAATCACCACAAAAATTCCTTCCAAATCATTACCACACATCATGCAATCTAGCAGGGATTTTCATGGTTCATATATTTCTTAATACAATGTTTACCTGCATAAGTAGTAATCCAACAATAAAAGCACTTCCTTGACAGTATCCAACTTCACGATCCACCAAAGAATAAGCCTACAAAATAACATCTTTAAGACTCCAAACAATTAAATCCTCATTACTAACAAGAATATATCTTAGCTCATGCTGTTATTTTGATAACAACTTTTGTCTTGCTCTTCCAAACCCACAGCAAACAGACACTCCATACAAAAAATTTGATAAGACGTTTAGTTGCTACCTGCAGCTACACAGAGACATGAACTTTGCTCTCTGTTGGCCTTCAATGCATTAATGGACACCTAAAAAAGCCTGCAGTTCACAGGAATTTGCCAGGTCTCAAAAGATAAGGAGGCTTCCATACCAAACGCACAGGCTTACTACATCTACAGAAGATCTGACAAAAGAAACAGTCTGTTTCAGAACAATTCAGAGCTGTAGTTTTATTTGCAGGTGGTTTCCACACACATTGCATGTTTCCATGCATATTTTAGAACTGGAAATTACTACGATTTAGAAAAGTGCTGACTTCTCTGTTGAAGCTGCATGACCAAAATTTAAGCTCTAGTAGAATGGGGGCAATACAGTGACATTTTATGGCAATGTTATTTTGTGCTTGTGCACTAACAACTGCACATTAGCTGGCACCTACCGTTTTCTTCTCTCACACACAGGCTCACCAACACTTGAAAAAGAAACGCTCACTTTGATTTACTATGTTCTCACCTGTCTGTATTGATAATTCACAGCACACTTTTCTCCATTACGCTAACAGCAGTTACTATGTGAAATTGCTTTAATGCAAGTTAAGTAAGCAGATGATTTAAATCTCTTACAAAATCATATTAAATAGGGATACAATATTTGAAAGCTATCTTTGAAATGTCATTTGAAAAGTAGAGTCAGTTTAAAAAACAGGACACGTGAAACTGACACAACACATTCAAGAAGGTAAATTATTTTCTAAACCTTTGTGCTTGCTTACTCTTGTTAATGTGTTTTTAAGAACAGAAATGCTGACTTACCTTCATTACATTAAATAAAACCTCCTGACCAAGGCTGTCTTTCTCCTTAAAGAAATCATGCTCTGGATACGTTCTAGCAATGTCCCTTCTTATTAGTTTCTCACAAGGAGATGTCATTTTCAAAAGCTCTGAATACTGATCCTTTATTGGCATGCTTTGAGCACTACACAGAAGCTGCCAAACAATTGCTCTGAAATGATGAGGTATCCCTTTTCGAACAAGCTCCTAAAGCACAAAGATACAAAACCATTAACATTTCCTGAAAATAATACATTATGTCACAAACCAGTTATGAAGTTCATAAGGCGTAAGCCTCAATTGCAGCCTGATAGGTAATAAGAATTAATGATATATATATTTTTTTCCTCTTAAGTAAATAACCATGAAAAAAGCTGAATATTAAAAAAACATTTTCAACAAGAACTCCTCTGGGCCAAAGTAATAGTAATATTTAATATTTCACAAAACATTATTGAAGAAAGTAATCTTAATTATATTTCTAGTTTTTAAGACATAAGAAATCATTGCTTAAGAATAACTTGCAAGACAAGTAAATGGCAAAAAAAATTGAAACTAAATGGAGCGCAGACAACCAGAAAGAAGTGCACAAGATTTCTATCAGAAGTCATTTGACACACACTTCACAAAAAGTCTACTTTCTCTTGTGCCAGTATTTCAAATTTTTCTTTCATTTAAAGGAAGTATTTAAATGTGATTTCTGATGCTAGACCAAGAATACATAGTTTACATCAACTGAGCTTCCTTCATTTACCTGAAATTCCCTGAGGAGAAAAAAATAAAAATCAGCTAGTTATTATACAACTCAAACCTTCTCAGATCTATCTATCACATTCCAAGTATGTTACTTGTCTTTTCAGAACAGACAAGTAAAAAGAAGTCTTGTTGCTTAATCTGAAAAACTGAGGAGAAAGTATGAGTCAAAGTTAATAGGTTTAGTAGTACTTTCTGCAACTAGGATCCAACTACAAGAGTGCCAATTCAAGACAAGAAGGTTCCTTTGTCATTGACAGGTTTGTTTGTTTGTGGTTTGTGGTTACTTTTTTTTTTTTTTTTTTTTTTTTTTTTTTTAAGCTTTATGAACTATTATCAAATACTGTCTCCTGCAGGTCAGTTTATTTTATTTTGCTGGTATTTATTCTGAGGTCAGAATCATCTTCTATTCTACTCCTATTTGTCCAAGTACTTACCCTACTACTCCAAATATTAAGATAGCACTAATACTAACTAATCTTTTGAACTTCCACAGACACTCCTGCTTCAAATCATTTGTTAAGCCTGAACTCTACTGCAGGAGTTTTGCAGCACTATCTGCAGCTTTCCAACATCCTAAAGATCATCAGCTTTTTCCAGAACCTTCCTAGTAATGTCACTGCAACTATTTGTTCAGATATGACTGTGACATTGAGTTATTTCCCAAAAGACGTCCAACTCCAAACCAACAAGCCTAAGACAGCTTTCCACTTTTATCTCTAGCTATTATGTCAACAACGCACTACCAGACTGCAGTTCAGTCACCTAAAGCCTCAAAAACTCTAAAAGCACAAACAAATGATTAGTTAGTAGTTCCTTGCATTATCATGCACTTGCTCAATCAAAATAACAAGGTTAATTCCACCAACACTCTTAGAGGAACACAGAAAAGTGGAAATTGCATCCTCTTTCAGTTTCTCTTCAGAAACAGGAAGAGTTCAGAGAGGATCAAGGCACATGGACAGATCATATCACATACAAGGAAAGCATAGACACACATGACTAATGCTTCAGAAACTTGCCAAGTATCCAGTAACTTAAGACTAGCTTTCATAGCCAATATGAAAGGAAATTTGGGCTGCTAAAATCATAACTACTGGCACAACCAACAACGAAGTATGGATGTTCAAGTATTCCAAAGTTTAGCTTGATTTTTGACGAACGAGCGGAAAAAAAAAAAAAAAAAAAAAAAAAAAAACCACATACCTGAGAATTATTTCACCATCGAAAAACCTCACTAAAAGCACACTTAACTGACTAACTTTCAATAAATATTTATTCTCCAAACAACTCTTGACCAGCATGACACTTTATTTGCAAAGCCTACATGCAAGCAGTTCAGAAAGTGAATTCTATCCAATCTGATCTATTTATTACCAATCTGCTTCTCTTTGTCAGGTTCACGGGTCTTCTTTTCACAGCTTTTTGGGAACACTCTTCCAGAAACTGTTTTCCCTATGCAAGCATAGAGCCTTGAATTCATTTTCATCCCTTGTTTCCACTCTCAGGTCATGTTCTCTCTCCACAACTGCTTCACATAAAAAACACTTTGCTTTAGCCCATCGTTCTGCCTTCCCACAATCTATTCACAGACATGAACTTCAAACTATTCAAAAGACCCTGAAATTTGTATTCTGCACATAAAACTACAGACTAAAGCTAATAAAGAACCAAAACAGAATAGGCTGCCCACAAATAAAAATCCTACACTTCCAGTACTTTCTACCTCTGAAACGTGAATGTTAAATGCCCTAAACATTTTTTAATTTAAATATAAATTATTGTTGAATTCTGTTCCTGCACATGTCCACAATTTAGACTGGACATATACAGCCCAAAATTTCTCTAACCTTCTAAAACAGTTTAGAAACTGTTCTCTTCCACTTGATGTTATTCCTGGGGTTAGCAAATTTGGCCTGAACAATTGAACTAAATTTGTATCAGATCCTTATAAAATAGAATGATTTGCTCCTCTAATAAGAATGCTTTTAAACAGACAGGTGTTCAGTAGGGGGAAAAAAGATATCACAGCATCCAGCTACAATATGATCTTAAGCAGATTTTCAGTAACTCCACTTTGAAAATACCAAGTATGCAATTAAAGGGAATCTCTCATAATCAGACAGAAAGCTTTGGTATTCATGATATGCACCTGGTTTTCAATGAGACCTTCGCCAGACAAAACTGAAGTATAACAACAGTTACATAAGAAGCACTAGGGCTTCAGGATTGAAATAGACACAATTAGAAGCTTCTCTTACTTGCTTATCTTAAAAATTGAGCCAAAAAGCTATCAAGATACAAATCCATCCTACAAACGTGTCCAACTACCTTAACTTGCTTTTCTTTCTTTTTCCGTACATCTTCCCATTCATTCACAATTCTCCCCCAAAGGATCCACGAGTCTTCTTCAAGATGGCTGAGATTGCTAGAAGCTGATGAACTAGATACAAGAGAAGATCCACTATTTCTTCTTGACCCATTTACCGATCGCAAGGATTTGCTATCTGTTTCTAGGAGCCTGCAAAGAAACCACACACAGACACACAAAAACAACAAGAAACTACATGTTCTTATCATGCTATTGCCACACTACTGTTTTTGTTTTCTTTTTTACAAATCTGTGCTTCCAACATCATTGCAAAGAACGAGCACAGAGTTCCATCAGTACAGTTTTTCCAACATCCATCTGTAATAAATTTAAGTAGAACTGCTCCTTGTTACTATTTATAATCACTCAAGTATTTCTGCAGCCACAATAGCAGATTACATTGCAGCCTTTTAAGGAACAAACACAAACATCACATTATGCATAAATATCAGAATTGAGATTTTAATCAGTGTCTTACAACCTCCTGAACTAGATCTTAATAAAGTCAGGGAAAGTACAGAAGCACCACAAATCAAACTTCTTCCACACATTCAATTGGAGATTAACAGCTGAACACAGAAGATCAGCAGGTTTTGAGGCAAGAGGGTTTGACCTTACCAGGAACACAAAAAAAAAAAAAAAAAAAAAAAAATCAAGGGCTTTCATGCATTGAGTTGACAAAAAGAACACAAGCAAACAAGTTAAACGTTCTCAACAATCAATGAGTGTCAGAGGTACTGGAAAAGACAGTAATTTTAAAGGAAAGTAGTCAAAAATCTCCCCATTAACACAATACACATTGATAATGTAAATACAGACACATAATAATGTAAGTTACAGTTCTGTAATGCCTGAATTATGCTGACAACTGTTCAATATGGTGTTTTTATAAATGGATGAGAAAAAAAACCTCAGTTCTAGCAAATGGGAATTGGGTAACAAAAGCTAATGGATGGATAAAGCCCAGCACTTGGATATGAGAACTGGGATTATCAGGTAGTGAGATTTATGTTCAGTAATTTTTCACGCACTTGCACAAAATCTAAAAGCCTGGCAACATTTCAGCAACGTTGTATTAAGTTTTAAGGACATATTAGATCATCACCCTTTTACACAAGTCTTAGAGCACTTGCAGTTTAAGCTCCCAGCTAAGAGATACTTACATTAGCTTTCCCAGTGCCCAGCTTTCACCTATTGTTTTTTGATGTTTAGAAACCCTAATACCAATGCACAATGAAAACTTAGCTCAAAATTCCTTCTATTAGTGTGTCAGCGTCAAAAGAGCAAATTACCGATGAAAAATGAGCACAGAAAAAATATCACAGTTATAAAAACACAATGATTATAAAAGGCTCTGACTGGTTAATTACCACAGCTTTTTTATGTAAGTTTCACTAGATTTCAGTAGGTTGACCTTACCTGGATAAATTCATTGTCCTTGGATTTGAAAATGAGAAGTTCTTTACAAAGTAAGTAGTATGCAAGTTCCGTGTTGTTCAACAACTGATTTCCTTCACCTAAAACTTTATAAATGATTTACTAATGCCAAACAGTTACAACAGGACTCTGGACTGAGCTAACTCATTATTTTGAGGAGACTTCCAGTAGGACTGGATTACAGAATGCTTCATACATTCATAGCCTGATACAGTTCAAGTTTTTTCAGTTCCCAGCCTGCTTAAATAATTCACATTGTTCTTGTTCATGTTGAAGTCAAGAACATAAATTAAACCTTTACAAATACCCAGCACCAGCTATTGTTCCCTGCATTCAGTGTACAATTCCTTCTCACTGTGTTAAAATGCAGATTCAAACTTTCAAAACCACCGTGCACCCTCCATGATAAGAGCACCGCATTTTAATTTACTTCAAGTATTGGGTCTCACAAGGAAAGAACATTTGGTGTGAGACATCTGACAGGACAACCTCTAATCACAATTCATACACAAAAGTAAATGTGGGAATGAACAACAAATCTGTCTTAAAAAAATATATATATTGATCAAACGAAAACAGATAAGTTAACCTAAATTGTACTAAATCAAGAATGCAAACCTGAAGAAGAAAACCTAACAAGCCCAAGCTAACATGCTTTGAAAAAGCAAACTAACTTCACTCCAGGGCTTAATATAACTACTCTGGATGAACAAATCTTACGCCCTAACAAAGATAAGCAGTCCAAAGAACAGATACTGCAGTTTTCCTAATATAAATGAGACCCTTGGTCATAAACAGAACAGAAAGCTTCAGATTAAATGCAAATCAGCTTTCTTAGAAGCACTCTATTTATGTTATACCTCCTTTTTTTCTTCTTTTGATACATTTTAAATGGCTACTAGCACAGCACAAATCACAGTACACCTTCAAATGAAAGATAACCCCATAAACCATAAGGAAAAGAGGACGACGTGGTTTAAAAGCTGACCTCCATTCTCAGTCATGAACTAGACAGCTGCAATTTCCTTGTAAGTTACTTTACTATCAGGCAGCAGAATCAGAACATTAAGAGAAGACATGCCTGGAGACAGTTGGCATCACTGCCTCTTCTCAGTTACAGGAGCATACAAAGAAATTCAGGACAAACAAGAATGACTGATTAGGGATTTCTCTTTCATGAGATTAAGTCATTGCATACCTGTCACTGTTAGCATAACTGCAGCAAGCATCTATTATTCCTTGCAAATAAAAGATGCTTGTACACTGCTCTATCTGTAAAAATACGCCTCCAGCCATAACACTGAATAGGCTGCAAAGCCTCTTTTATTAGCTGTACCTGTACGAAATAGCCTGAGCTGCAGGCTAAATTACAGAATACAAACTGAAGAATTCTGCTCAAACCCTTAAACTGAATAGCAGAACAGCAACTTCTACTTTTCTAGAATTTCCAACAGAAAATCCTGCTCCATGTACATCATCACAGATAAACAGATAACACACTAAAAGGCTACATGTGAGCAGGTTATACTGTGGAAATCGAGAAGGAAAAGAAGGGAACTGTGAGCTACTTCACATTTCAAAAAGCCTATAAAAATACCATCTTTATCTAAGGATGGGAGGAAGTTACACAGAAGTCTCATTGCTATGATATTCCATTTCAGTTGGGATACTGAATATCGTGCAACTCCAATGCAAATTTCTAGAATAAGCAGCAGTTATGAGCACTTCTTTAAACCAGAAAGCCAACTCTTTTGAACATTCTACAAAAACAAATTCTTCAAGAATGCACACCTCTACAACATTAATTCTTAACCTTGAAATTAAGGTGTTGCGCCATGAACAGCAACCTCCTTTAACAGTCTCAGTGTTGAAGCTACAATAACCCAATTCAATCTTATCACTATAGTCAAGACCAAGAAGTTTTGCATTTACCTGTTCTGCTCCTCAAGTTTAGCCAGTAATTCTAGGTCGTCTGGACTCAGCTGTGCTGGCGAGGATGGTGATAATGCAGGTGTAGACAGAGTGGTAGAGGAGGATGTAGTGTGTAAAGAGGCAGATGGACTTGCCACCTGACTGGCCATCTGACTGACAGTGTGTGATACAGTGTTCTTCACCCATGAGAGAGTAGAGCTCAGCTTGCCTGCAACCTTGTCTGTCGCCACCTGTGATGACAAGAAGAGGCTACAACAGCTGTGGGGTTTTGTTTTTTCATCTTTTCAATCAACTACTTCCACTGAACAGGGAAAAAATACAATATGCATAAACTGACATTGGGATTGTTTATTTCTGCAGAAGACCCAAAGCTGTCAGAAGCAATAAAAGCGGCAATGATAGAAATTCAGTATTACAGAAGAAATAACATGCAACTATATTGCTAATACACTAGAAAAATACAGAGGAATTTGTTCAACAGAACTGGTTTCTGCAGTACAGAAATACCACAGCTCTGTTCAGACTTCCCACTACAGAAAAAAAAAATCCACTATTTAAAATGTGTTGAGAATTGAGAAGATAATAACAGCACAGGACACGCAGAAGGACAGATAAGGAAGCAGTCAACTACTTCACAACTGACAGAGAAGCAGCAGGAATGTATCAGTGTAAATCCTAAGCTTTGCTGATTGCTGTTCGAACATAACAGAAATCCTCTACAGTGTGAGGAAGAGGAACAGATGCACCACAATCCTGATTTACACCAAAGTACAGGAGTCCTTAGCATCTGCCAGCATGTAGAAAAAAGTTAAATTCTGTATGCTTAATATTGTCTCTGGAAAGCATAAACGCAGCAGCCACGCATGTGGAAACAAAGAAAAGTTGCTCACTTTCAGAAGGCCTCCAGTAGGCAGGGATCTCCAGCAAGATGCCCCCGCCTCCAGCTCACTGCCCGCCCTTAAATGAGGTCTGGGAAGGACTGGATCCTGGCTCCACCCCTTCCAGTCACTCAGGTGCGTCGCATGCAGCTGAGCTCCTCCGGATTGCCCTGCCTTCCACCAGGTGCTCAGCCACTGTTTCAAGTTGTGACTAAACATTCCTGCTACAGGTTCCCCCAAAAAGCACCTGAAATGTTCCACTTGGTTCCTGCACCACTTAGGTTTTCCTATGCAAAGGCATAGGAAACATGCATAGGAAATGCAATACTGTCCTTGCCAGTATTACAATACTTAAAAAAACCCATAAATTTTTAAAGCTCACCTTGGAGATGCACTTTCAAAACTAAGGTTTCAACACCACTTTTTATAACATATAAGGTAGAGATTTCAGACTCAAATTTCATATATTCATTAATATTTCAGCTTATTGCTATTGAAGTGCAAATTATTCATGTTTCATTTTAAGTAACAGATTTATAATACAGACAACACACGTACGTCACTTGCTAAGAGGACTGAGTATTTTCTCAAAGGTTTCTTACTGCTTCAAACATGACAAGCAACACAACTACTCCAAAAGTAAACATTGGCAGAAACAGGAACAGGAATACAGCAAGCAACTGCCAAAAGTCACACTTGTGTTTTGAGCAGATATCCACATATAAACATTAGAAAAGCACTGATTTAGAGTTGCACCCTATGACACAAACAGGGAGAAGTAAGGATACAAATGGATTAAATACTACAAAGCAAAGTAATTAAGACAAGGTGCGAAAATAAATCCAAGCTGAGTACAGCTTACGCAAGACTCACACTCTGAGTTCAGAGATCTGAAGTGGATGAGGAGGTAGGAAAAAACCCTAGAATTTACTTAGCAGCAGATCACAGCGCATTAAAAAGCCATGTAAAAGTCTGTAGGAACGGATTAGGTGAAGAATACTAAGAGAAGGTACAGTCAAAACTGTACAAGACAGCAGTTAAATCAGCATTTTTCAGATGCTGAATTTCAAGTTAAATGTGAAAAGCAGAAAAGATAACCCACTACACCTGGGATGCACACCAAATCTAGAGAACCGTTCAGCTGACCAAACCATTACTGATCATCATTATTTCTGCATGAGCAAAACCACAGCCTCAATCAACTCTGAGAACATGTTTGCTTCCCCCAAAAGGTCTCCCTTCAGAGCCTGCCGATTAATTTCACTTCAAACACAAACTCAGCTCCCAGCCCGCACCCAGGAACCCCACCAAACCACTCGGCTGGTACAGATTTTTGAGCACAGCACACAGGCCCTTGTTCATTGCTGGCTAAAATGCACACCTAATGGTGGAACTGCACTGAAAAATAGCGTCACTGTGCCGCTGTCGTTTCCATGGAAACAAACAGGAGGCATTACTTTCAGAGCAACCTACATACATGTTTCTGCAGACACTGAGTTTGACCTCTGCATTCCCTGAAAGAAACATGTATTAAAAGCTATGGGTGTCTCAATTACCAGAAATGCTGTTTCAACTATTCTTGTTGTACGACAAAGTAAAACTAACTGCAAGCCTCAAGAAATACTAACGTTTTAATGTCCACTTTGTATATTTCATGTGCTCTCTACCCTTTCTTCTCTTCCTAAGGAAACAGAAGTAGTTCTCATACTACTCTGTATATAAAGAGAAAGTCTAACACAATTATGGTCGAAGTTACATACATAGTTTTCAAGCAAGCTGTATAGCATTCCACAAAACCAGATCCCTGCTTGCTTCAAGAAGTTAATAACATTCTAATACCTGAATAACAAACTGAACCGACTCAGTGAAGGACACAGAAGCAGCAGCTGGTGAATCACCCCATTTTCATGCCTCCTGACAAGCTAAAATCCTAGTTTAGGCCTCAAACATGGTTTCACTACAGGCTTCATCAGCATCTTCTATATTCCCAGTTCTTTCACTCAATTCAGATCAAGACTGAGAAGAGTGCTGGTTTGCTCACATATTCTTGATTTTTCTCATCACCTACCAATAGTCAGTAATATCACAGCTTGCACCTCAATCACCAACTTCCCAAGTCTTTTCAGTGGGACAAGTCCACTAATAAGTGGAAAAAAATGCAAGAAAGGTCAACAAAGCAAAGATCATCCTTAGTACCAGCGAGACACCAAAAACATTACATAAAACCCCCAAGTCTTATGATGATTGGTATGTACTTTATCACAGAATTTTAACTTGCATCCATCATTCTGTCTTTAAAAATATCTAGCAATTCTTTGTCCAAGTGTCTAAGAAATACTTGCTGAAGCTGGAGCCAAACCCTGGAAGTTCAATCACTAATATGTTCCAAGGCAAAATAAAAACTACAATAACATCAAGAAACACAACTGCTCTGCTTAATGAAACTTAGCTCTGCTGTTTCAGAGAACAATTAAGTTGGAAATTCTTTCACCATGTCTGAAAGTAGTCTTTAACTAGTCTGCCATTCAAACTACATCTAAGCCAAGCAGCTCCGAGATGTAAAGCTAAGTTCTTACATACATCACTTTACACAATGATGTGGAAAACAACACTTTCCAAATGTTTGGTTGTGACTAGCTACTAGTTTTTGATGCCCATTTTTAAATGACATACAATAGTTTTTCCTCTCTTAAAGGTAACAGTAAGCTCTTCCCATAACATCCTGCTAGTTACAAGTGCACTGCCAAATTCTGACAGCAGCAACCCACTAGTAAAAGACAAGCTCCATCTGACAGACTGAAGAAACCATATTTAAAAAACAAAACCAACCCACACCAGCATTAACACAGCATATGATACTGGTGAATCAGAGATCTGTGTCATTGCAATATTAATATTTTCCAAAATTAAAAAAAAAAAAAAACCAAGAATGTTTTATGATGTCATCAAGCAAGCATTTGATACTATACTACAGAGACAGACAAAATTTGTTCAGACAAAAAAATAACACTGGATAGCAGCTTTTGGCTGTTTCTCAAGTCAGGAACCAATACAAGCAGATTAAGTGTCCACAGTCGCTCTTTAAGCCAACATCTTCATTTTAGTCCAAAAGCCCAACCCTGGTACTGTACTTCAACCCCAGATACACAGTAACTGCCTCAACCCAACTTGGAAGAGCTAGTTTTACAGAAAACTAGCAAGCAAAGTTGACAGTTAATACAGCCTGTAGTAACAGCCGCTGCAGTGTCTCTCTCAACGTGACCAAAAGGCATTCATGTTCTTCACCGCTCAAATCAGAACAGGTATTTCCTAGGCTCTCCCCAGAACACTCCTTCCCAGGTAATTCAATAGTTTCCAGAGCTCTGAGGCTGTTAAACAAGTGAACAGCAATCAAGGATAAGCCAGACTTCACTCAATCACTTCCGCCTCTACCTTGTGGGCACGCAGCTTTTGCTAAGCATACATGTAAACAACAGGAATACCTCCCTGCGGAACGTGAGCTGAGCAAAGCTAAGTCCCCCTCCATTATGACTAAGCCACCGTCAGATGCCAACCCCCAGTTATTCCAACCGCCACTTGCGGCAGAAGGACAAGACGCTCTTTAACCAAAGGCATTTAAGCAGATGGCTACAATGAAGACAGTATGCCCCATTTAAATTAACCAAAAATTTACCAACAGATGATGTTGGTTTTCACAAAGTAAATAAGACACTGGGCTTTAATTCAGCATGCCATCTAAGAACACCATCACATAGTTAAAACCTCAGAGGATTTATTTTAAAAATCAAAATTATAAACTTAATGTATCGACTGTTTGCTTTTATATTTAAGTACACATTTTTATTATTAAAAAATTGGAAAAAATACTGAATTCAGAGTATAAAATGAAGGTAATGAAAGAAGTTGTTCGAGCAAAGAACCACCAGGATTTTTTTCTTTTACATGACTGTTTATGAGAACACTGAATTAGCAAGATAAACAGCCCTGCTTTTTCAAAATCTACTTGAAGGGACTTCACTTCCCTCTTTTTTCCATTTTTCAAATACTTCTCCCTCAGTCTTATCCAAAGAAGCAGCTGACACTAACTATTAAAGCACTTCAC